ACATACCCATGTTTTGGGTTTGAAGAATCTGCCCACGTTTTATGGTACAATATAAATTTTTGGTCATCTTTGATGAATGTATATATGTACATATGAACAATATATTGTGGAGTACAATTTATCTTTAATATTTTCAATTCCACAATTATGAGTTTTATTTAAAATCTCATTAATTTATACAAACAACTACAAATTTCTTAAAAAAAAAAATTATAATAAACTACTTAGAAATATGTTATTACATTAATGTTAGTGACTTCGATAAAAAACTGAAAATCAACAAAGTTTTAGTCAAAGAATATTGAAAGTTAATGACTGTACCCAAAATCTATCCTAATTTAATTGGATAGAATAATGGATCAAGAATCACATTAAAAAGTGTATATCCGTCCATAATGTTCAAATATTGCATGATTTAAGCTATAGTGTCAATTTAGGCTCATGACCCGTCGTTTTGAACTAAAAGCGTTATTCTATAGTACTAAACTTGTTATTTTTGATATTATTCAATAACAAACTTTGAAGGTTTTATTTATTTATTTTATTTTATATTTTCTTGCGGATTCCAGTTACCTATAATTTCAATTGATCGATTATTTTTTTCCTCTTTGTCAAGGTGTGTCATCTCACTTAACATTGCCTTATTTTTAAGAAAAAATGTAAATGGAAAAAGCAAAAAACCCTAGCTATCTTTAAACTCCCTCTAAAAAAATGACAAAAGGTTTATATATAACTCGCCTTTTTAATTATAAACTGGTATTGAACTTGTCATTCACAAGATTTGAATTTAAGATCTCTCATTTAAAAATGAAGAGGAATAGCATAGTACTAAGTGGCAACACATTGCTTCTTTTAAATGATTTATTTAATTTAGTGGAACATACGTAACGTCCATTTTTATTTTCAAAACATATGCTTTATTCCAAATTAAAGAAAACACCATATAATGATACAAAAGATGACGATGTTGAATAATGTGAAAAATCTCACATCAAATTTAACAAAGTACATCATAACTTATATTAATCAGTCTTTTTTCTTATTATACCGAAGTTTTTTGTAATATAACGCCACAGAATTGGTTTGCACATGTGTTGAGTACGTGGACATTCGGACCCAAAGTGAATATAAACCCTATACAGGCCTTATGTGGGAAAAATCTAGAAATAGATACTTCCCCGTTTTTTTAATTTTGTTAAAAGTTGTTTAGCAAATTGAAATTTTGTTTTGATGATCGTATGTTTCTTAGTATTTTGTGGAAACAACGAGATCACGGATTAAAATAACTATGTTCTTAGCATTCACAATTTGAAAATAAAATCCCCCAACTCCCAATTTCTTCATTAAAGCTGCAAACTAACTGAAAAAAAAAAAAAAAAACAAGGAAATGGTACAGTTGAGTTTTTAGATAATATACGAGGGCATTTTCGGAACTAGAGGATTACAAGGACCGCATGGAGGAGTCCGTCAGGTCGTCCACGTCGAGGGGAAGGATGTTTGTTTTCATTAATCCGTCCTTCACTCCTTCCGTCCGTCAATTTCAAAGTCTCCCTGGTTTTGTTTGTGGGTTTGGTCCAATGGAGAGCTCAGTCAACACACTCATTGCCTGCCAGGACACCTCCTCATTACTTTTTTTTTTTGCTATTTTACTCCTGTATTTTGTATTAATCACACAGTTGAACAAAAGATGACATCATCTTCGTCGTTATCGGGCTGGGGGTGGATTTCTCAAAGTTGTGAAATTGGTAGTACAAACATTGGTTGTTCATGCTTGGTTTAAGTTGGTTGTCGCCCACGTAACTGACAGTGGTGCTTGGTTGGGACAAGCATTGGCTGCTTATCTAAACTAAGCAAAAGACAATTTACGTACACCTCTGGAGTTTGTGGGTGCTTATCAAAATGGGACACTTTCTTTCAATTTTGTCAAATTTACACCCTAGTAGCTCGTTTGGTAGAAATGATTGGATTGAGAAGGATAACCCTACTATCTAGTCCATTCATAACTCATAAGACATGTATGGCATATTTGAACCGGGCAAATGCATTTCGCTTTGACACTTTTGCAGAATGCCGCAAATTCCATCTCCTTTGACGGCATTGCACAATTTAACCAGCAAATAACAAAAAAATTAACCAAAAAATATAAGTCCAATTCTTTCTACAAAACGAGCTTTTATGGTGTAAATGGGGTTATATATTTACATATATATATATATATAGACAGATAGATAGATAGGTTAATGTCGATCATCCTAAGAAACGCTGGTAGTTTGGGGAATCTAGGATCCTTTTATTTTCTTTAAGAAAAACGATGGTAATCATATACCGTTGATTTTTCTACCATTTGTTGCAATTTGCAGTGTTGTTTACTTTTTATCTATGAAATAAGAATGGGAGCTTGTAGTAAGCTTTTCATCAACCCTTTTTTCATATTATTAAAAACAAAGAATAGGGTAAACTATTACAATAATTTATAGGGTGGACTTTTGTCTACTTGAATTAAAGATCATGCTGAATAAATAAAAGGGATTTAAATTTGCATAATCCACAATTTCCATTAATATAATGGACACTAATTATACAATCAATTAGTTGATCATCTTCTCCACTCAACAATCCGAAAAAAAAATAAAAGACAACAACGACATGATATGCATTAACAATTTAACATCATTTGCAAAGATAACAACAAAATCGAAAGTCTCTGAGAGCAGAAGCCAAACTGGTGGGAGAGCAAATAACTCAACAATTTACATATGAGACTTTGTTGAAGTACGTTAAACTTTTCGGAGAGCAGAAGCAGAAAGCAGAATCAAGATTACAAAGATAACAACTGCGACGAATGCCGAAACCACAGCCCCGCTGGATTGCGGGCAAAAATCACCAAATTGTTGGCAAATAGCAAGCCAGTTTGCGTCCGAATTTCCATTATGGCCCAGGTAAACTATGGCAGCGGCAGCGGCAGCAGCAGAAGTGTTCAAAGCAAGCGCCAACTATGATAAAATGACAAGATTTTAAGTTCCATGTCAACACATGTGAGGCAAAGTGTACATCTAAGTACTGTTTATCCATTTACAAAACTATACAAAATATAAAAGAAAAAGTAATCTTACGGTGTAAAAAATAAGCAGGACAAGCTTTGGAGCAACTGCATGGGGACGAATAATGGTTACTATGGAGAAGGGAAGGGAGAGGACAAGGTAGGCGCCCACTATTCCCATTGCTATCACAAAAAACCTGCATTTACATATCCAAGGAGTGATGTGTTCAAATTAAACATGTATACAGTTTGTCCAACATGAATAAATCATCAATAATGTTATTTGGATTAGGTTTTATTAATTGGGAGCTGTTATTAGTACTTCTAAAAAGTAATTCACAATGAGGTACGCAAGTATAGTACGTAATTAAAAGATATTTAAGAGCAAGGCACGTACTGGAAAGTAGGCAAGTCGTCATAACTTGCTGAGAATTGGAAAAACTGCATGAAGAAAGGAAGAATCTCATCACTAGACCCCATCGCAATGGCAGCACCGAGAGCAGCTGCAGTGGCACCAAGCCTTAGAGTAAAGTCTAGCACGGCAATGCCCTTCTTCCATCCTCCCTTTTGATTCTTAATATTGGAACCTTGAGCAGCTTCTACCCTCACGTATGGTACTTCTCTTTTGGATGCATCTTATTTCTTGACTCTCTGATGTCGATTGTGGCCGAATGATCACCGCTATCGCTCATCATTTTGGTTTTGGTAATTGACACTTGATGAATTGGGCTCAATGAAACTAAGCTTAATTGTATGAGGATGTATTAGCTGAATAGAAGAAGATATAGATCAAAGCCTTGGTGATTGAACTTGTTCAAGTGCTGTCCTTTTTATATATACATTGAGTTAATCGATTCTAAAGCAAAGATTCTTCTTTTATTTTGTAATTTGATAATAAAAGAAGAGAGAAGTCGTTGCTAACTTTCTCCACCGGCCCTAAATCACAAAAGTGGAAAGTGTGACAGGTAGATGTTGGAATAAAGTGGTTCGATTGCACTCTTAAGTAATCGAGTCAAAACTATATATACTTAACATAAACCAGTCAATGCATGTATTTGTGTACTTTTGGTTTGTGATTAAGTTAGCTAAACCACGCACATCATTCTATCTCTAATTCCATTGTCTTCTTTTCCTCTCTTTAGTTTAGGTATACAACTAGAAATTACGCTTGCACATTGCTGCCTGAACCAGCTAATCGGATGAATAAAACGTATTTAAGTTGAATAAATTCAACACAATTATGAACAAATAGAATGATACATGAGTGAATGAGATCGATAAGATAAACAATTTTGTTTAATATACATTCAAGTGAGCTGGCATATAAACACATTGTATAATGAGTGGGAAGAAACTGAGTGTCTTTGATTAGAAAGATATAGTTGCCAAAAAAGTTCTGTTTCCTTAAGAAACAAAAGAAACATAGTTCACACATGATATGTGTCCTGCAGTGTAGGCAGCCATTTCAACAGATAATGCCAAGAAAAGAAATTAAAATATTATGCATATGAGTGCAAGCTTGCAGAAACTTTGTTTTTGTACACTTTCTTCTCCTTTACAATTTGTTTCTTATCCAGAAAAATAAAATGAGCAGGTCAATGATACTCACATGTGCAAAATGCTAATCCTATGGTCTAAAGCTAACTGAGTTTTTAAGTGTAAACTCCCTAATTTCACTGCATTTGGATTGATCATAGTACGTGTCTTGTTAAACTTGATATCTCCTTGTACATTTTGGGAACTTGACAGCTTAAAGAAGTGCTCATAAAAGCAAATTACACAACATCTACTAAAAAACTTAGAGAAGGGACTCAATTAGTCAACAAAAAGGTGCATCGCACTTAAATATTAAAGACCAAAGAGAGAAAACCAAGCCGAACTCTTCAAAATTCGTTGGCACACATGCTTCATTGGCTCAATTGGATGTATAATGCATACTTAGATACAACAATTCGAACAATAGCTCAGAAACAGCGCTGAAATTCCTTTAGCACTAATCACACACTGCCGGAACAGAGATCCTAGCAAAGCTACACCAATTAAATGACAAAGACTAAAAACCACAAACAGGAAAAAAAAGAAAGAGTTATCAGACAGCATGATTCAAATATAATTTTATTAGGGTCGGTAAAAGCACAACCCATCCAGCACTTTAAACACACAGTGGGATTTAAAAGCAGGTCTTTCTTGATTAGAAGCTCATATGTCTTGCACCTAATTTTCAAACACTCAAACGTCAGTGTCTTACTACTTCTAACCCACAGTTTAAAACAGAAAGAACCTCATTTGATGAAAATGCCAAAATTTTCTAATGGAGTCCAAAAATTTATAACATCAACCTCATGCGGGGACTTGGCTAAAATTTATTTTTAAGCATCCAAAAAGCCATTAAACTAAACATAGTTAGTTCTTCGTACCTTTGTATGAAGATCACACAGGAAAACATTAGCATTGCTACATGCTATGTTGGAATTTCGGGGGCTAGATTAGAGTCACACTTGAGTTCGACATCGAAAGTGAGGCTTCGCTGGTGTGTTTCCACACCACATGCTCTGCAAAAGAGACACAATCTCAGAATCAGAAACACATAAATAAGAAATATACACTATATATATAGCAAGAGAAACTTAAGAAATGAAAAGTTCAATCAAAGTGAGTGAAGTGAACCTTTGTTCTTTTTTTAACCCAAAGCATTGAAAGTAGCACAAACCATTCTTTTGTCCTCTTTCTCCCCTCTTCCCGTGTCCCCCACTCTTTTTCACCCTTTGAAACAATAACTGATAAGGAAAAATAAAAAATTACTATTGAATAATCTAACAAATCATTTAGCACCATCGGTTGCCAACTTGCAATCTTGAGTCTGCTAACATTCCAAAATTATTATCAGTAAGTCTCCATATAACCTTTTTGATTCACTTCTTTTCCTCCTATTTCCCAACCAACAACACATTTCTTATCATCTTTCTTATTCATATATATGACAATAAACAAAAAAAACAATGTGCAAAAGATACAAAAAGTAACAATAGCACCTTCATATTTACCATTTACACTTGAAGTAAAATCTCAAAATATTTCAGAAAAATCATATGAAAGCACAATGTTACAAATAAAAATGATTAATTAGCACACCAAAAAAATGATAGTGGAGAACAGGAAATAACTAAAAAAAATTAAAAATATCAATAGACCAGGAGAAAACTACTTTAAACAAAATGAAAACTCAAAATTTAGGATAAAAAAAGGAAAGAAATCAAACAGAAAAGAAGACAAAAGAGAAGAAAAAAATTAAAGCAAAATACCTGAAGCTCGGTGAGATTCAAGCTTCGAACTGAAAAAAAAAACATTCAGTGGTCAACACCCAATCACTAATTAATTAAGTGGTCACCATGAACATGTGAATAAAATTGTAGAGGTTAATTATACGGAATCTTACAAAAAAAAAACTAATTGAAATTATGTGTTGCGCACAGTGATATCGAAGAAGAAGAATTTCTATTTAACTGAAATTAAATTCGAATAAATGATTCATAAAATTACAGATTTTCAATCAAATGCGGAATATACACAACAATTTTATTTCTGATTTGAACATAACCAACTACATCCCAAGTTGTATCAGTATCAATGGATCCAACATGGGGGTGACCATCTGCCCCTCAAGTATTCATATCTGCAAACCCTCGTCTAAAGAAAAATTCATCCAGAAATTAATAACTGAGTATGCAAGGTTGGCATGCATATTCATGTTTAACCGTGGCCATGATGATGGGAATTAAAAAAACACGAAAATAGGAATGATGTACCTTCACTTAGATTTCAGGATTCTAAAACCTGTTGCTGAGATTTGAGAAACATAGGAAATGTGTTTCATGATTTCAAATTAGATTTGCATAAGATTTCAGAAACGCAGACATCCCTTCTTTTCATTCCCCTAAATGCTAAACGCTAAACCCTAAACCCTAGGCTTTCAACACCAAAACACCCAAATAGTACCAGAATTTTGCAATGTGCTGGGAATATACTAAAAAAACTTAAACCACAATCAAGCACCATCTATCTAAACAAAATCAAAGAACCCAAACCACATACAAAATCTCTAAAATCAATTTACCCAACCCCTAAATATATAATAATAATAATGATTCTAGTAGAAATTCCAATCCATTACAACAAAACACTGAGCTAAAACAACAAAACACAGAATACCAGGTATTGCTGGATGTAGATATCCAAAACAGCGGCACCCATCAATTGATCTAATTACGTATCCATTCCCTATCAATGGCATACAAAGTATATACTCCCTGTTTACATGTCATAAAACATTTAGTAGACCAGCAATCAAAATTAACAACCCTAATTGTTGTATACACTAAGCTCTCCACGTATCCATTCCCTATCAATGGCATACAAAGTATATACTCCCTGTTTACATGTCATAAAACATTTAGTAGACCAGCAATCAAAATTAACAACCCTAATTGTTGTATACACTAAGCTCTCCAACTGAAAATGTTTAAGTAAATTTTCCAACTTAAAACCCTAAATTAAATCCTACAAATTGAAATAGCAGAAACAGATTAGAGAGAAGGAAGAAATCACTGACCTTCGAGTTGTTGAAAGCTCTGATAGGTGGTTCTTTTCATCCAGCCCTAAAAACAGAACCCACTATTGTAATATAATATCCAATCATTGATCAAGAATCAAATTAACCCAGCCTGTGTATAGAAAAATTGAACAAATTTAGACATTTACATGTATGTATATTCCAGTAAAAAAGAATGAAATGCACTGAACCCTAAATTGCAAAACTACGTCAGACTGATTGAAGAAGAGAAACACAGAGGGAGAGGGAGAGTGAGTGGGACGGAGAGAAAACCCTAAAAACATAACCCTCTGGCAACCTAATACAAAATCAAGCCAACAAATTCCATTCCAATTTTGACAAAACAAAGCGAAAAAGAATAATGAAAACCGGAACGAATTACAGAGGAAATGATGGGTTTATGCATCAGCAACGTGATAAAACCCAGACACACAAAACCTAATATGTATCAGCTACAAAAACCCAAATAAATAAATAAAACACTCAAATTTCTATGTAAAAGTGAACATATTTTGACCCCAAAACGAAGATGTCATAGATGGAGGAAGAGAGAAGCGATAGAGAGGGAGATACTAACTCAACCCCACCATCTCTTTGCAGCCAACACACTCATTCCCTCAACCCTACCCTCAAATCTTGTACCCAATCAACTCTCTTTCTATCCCCCTAATCGTGCACCTGCCGTCACCTTCTCTCTGCAACCAACCCCCTCTCCTCTCTCCCCCATATCACACCCCCACCCTGTGAGGGCACTGACAGCAGACCACCTCCCTAGAAACCGGCCCCTGCCCTATAAACCCGTATCCATACCTCCCTTACCCATTCCCCTTAACCCTTGCATAAAATCGTCCCATCTCTCTCTCACCCTTGTCCCATCTCTCTGTCTCTGCAAATCGAAGAAAACAAACCCTCAACCAAATCCCTAAAATCCCAACTCAATCCTCCCACACTTCTCTTGGCACTCCCTATCTCTCTCTGCAATTCCTAAAACAAATCTCCTAAATCCTATCTCGGACACCCCCATCTCTCTACAAATCGCACAAACAAAATCCCAAACCTAATCCCTGAAACCCTTTCTCTCGGACACCCCATACCACATAAATGAACTTTAGTTTATAAAATTGCAGGCCGCCTTCTCTCTTCCTACCTTTTAACAATTCACCAGTAAGATTATCTCAATAAAAACTTATATTAGCAAATCCAGTGACGAATGATGTGAAACTGAAGCTGTAATGAAAGCTTATTTTGAGAAAGAATGAAAAGCCGTCTTTCTACAACTTGAAACCAAAATTTAAGTGAATGGCCCTGTAACTAAGGTTATTGAACAGGATTAACTATCCGCAATATGACAACTATCTGCAACCCTCAACCTTGTAACCTGAATCAAGCTGGTTTCACACATATCATACCAATAGAAAACCAAAATATCAATGTTTGGGGAAGTTACCTTATTTGAAATACCACTAAAAAACAGAGTATACTTTTAGGCAAATATTGTTTAAACACCCAAACATAATTCATGATATGTGCCAAAAAGAAAATACCTCTTGATTAGATTTCTTTCGTTCACAAACTTTCTCCCTGACAAACTCCTGAGATAGAACCAAAAAAGAAAATAAGTCACAACTGATGCAAGTAGAGGGCAAGGAGGCAGAGAAAAGTAGGAATTTATGAGTACACCACTCCTGTTTTACGTTTCCAACTTATAAGGATGCTAACTTCATCATATAGGACTACCGTTAAACGCATTTCTTTCCGAAATTAAATTAAGAAAAAAGTTCGACACTCACATGCCACAACACAATGTTACATAAAGTAATCTTACCATCACAACCAAATTGACACAAAACTTCCAACAGCCGTTTTGAAAGCGAAAGTCAAGCGATTAATCAAATACTCATTTTCCAAAAAAGAAAAAACCCAACAAAAATATATAAAAAGTAAAAGTACCTAAGTTCCCAACAGTCCAATCCATCAGAAAAATACAAACTTGCACATGTTTGAGTTTAAGGACCATAAGAAAGAAGCAGGGGATGCAAAATTTTGAGAATGGGTCTAATAATACTCATCAAGTACAGATAATCAAAGTTAAAAGGAGGTAATAAAGGTATAGAAAAAAGAAAAATATATTCTACAAATGAATGAAACAAAAGATGGTAACACTGGAATGGAAACACTTCAGGAGGCCAGAGGAAGAGGGACAATACTATAGCAAATAAATTGATAATGCTTGTGCTCTCCTCTGTTCTTTCCCAAGTTGATCCCACAAACAAAAGCACAAACAAAACCAAAAAACGATGCCAATCAATGAAAGCTAAATTATCCCCATCCTGAATCTTTTATAAAACAAAGCATCAAGAAAATTTCAACAATAAATATTTCATACGAAATTTAACATAACAAGTATATTAACTTATAGATTCTAGACTTCAAATAGTTAACATAACAAATACAAATTTAACCATCATCTCTCTTATCCATTGCCTTTTCTACTATAAATGAAACCAGATATAAAATAACTGCACGTTTTAGATTGGCAGATTGCAACTTCTTTGGAAATTAGTCATAAAAGTTAATACATTTCATCACTCCATTTCTGACTTATCCTCTATCAACTGTTGAGCACCCTAATCCAAAGAATGGAAATTTACCCGCCAAATATCAACTGGATATCTAATAACTGGAAATTTTCCATTGGATATCCAATAAATTTCAATTACTCAATTTCTATACAACCCCAAATCCAAATACCGTCTGTTGCTCCAAATATCAATGCAAAGATGCAAACTTTTTTACGCTACAACATCAACAATACGATTTTAATAAAACCCACAAAAACCAAGTAAATAAGCAGATTTTTGGCAAAAGCGCTTAAAATACACTCACCAGAAGCAGAAGTGGAGATGGGATTGAAGCCATTGCTGTGGTCCCCCTGGAGCTGCAGCTTAACATCTGACACAGCAGTGTTGGCGGAGGAAGAGGCAGCGCTCTGGACAATCTGACCTCTCTGGCGGCGGTTGTGAGGCAGTTGAAATCTATAGCTCTCGGTTTATCCATTGCTGCTTTTTTTTTCATTGGATCTCCCATTTGGTCCCATTGTTGTTATATCCGTTTCTGTTCTTCCTTGTCAATCAGGATCTGCACCCGTGAAAACCCACAAAGACATTAGAAATGGAACCCACCGCATATCGTATAAAAATAGCGTTGAGCCTTGAGGTGTCCTTGCAAACCTAAGGTATGGCGCAGTTGGAGTTTTCGACAACATGAGGAAATGTGTAACCCCCATAGGCCCAGCCACATTCAAAAAGTCTTTAAGATTGTTCCGCCTCTTCTCCTGCAAAAACATTGCGGAAAAAGCTCAGCTCTTTACTTCAGATTCTTACTTCTCATTTTCATCAGCTCTTCAAATCAATTAAAATTTAAACAAATCAAGTATCATAAAGCATTGCAAAATATATTAAGACCAGAACGAATATTTGCATACCTTAAGCTTAAGGGCAGTGTAGCGAAGCATCAGTTTCCTCAAATCAGCTTGAAGCTGCTTCAGAAGACCAGGTAACTTGCATCTGGAAAACACAAAGCTCCTTGGGATTTTATCCCGTGATATGGTCAATATTAGCCTGCTTCTTCATCGAAACTGACTTCACAAACACCTTCTTCTTCTGTTTTCCCATTTTCAGAAACACAACAATCAACTACGTTTCCGAGATAATTAATAAAACAAAACAAACAAACAAACAAAACAACAAAAAAAAAATTCTTCGATTCAGTTTTCCCAACAACCAAACAGAACCTAAAAATTTCAAGCTTAAATTTTTGAAGCCAGCCATGATAGCGTTTGCAATTTCAGCTACGTAACTTTGTGATTAATACTGCAAAAAATTAAACGCATTTAGAGTACAGAGAGAGTGAATTTATGCTAGGGATTCGTCAGATAATTAAAACTAATAGAAAAATTAAACAAAATTACCTTTGGGCGTTTAGGGTTTTGGGGGATCTCTGTCTCTGTGTGAGGTTTTAGACGAAGGAAGGAGATGACTGAACGCGCGAGGCAGATTAGTTTGTTTATTAGGCTAGGCGCATCCGAATCGTCTAATCATACTAAGGAAATCAAGATGCATCCAAAACACATACAATCAAACTGGAATGTGTAATTGATAGCTTACACGACGCTGGTCGTTGTCGGAGTTGACAGAAATCAACGAAGCCCTGTGCGATTTCATCGTTGTGAGCCGTGAGAGATAATACGATGGTCACATCACGATTTTATCACCTGAAGGTCGACTCTTCCAAGTTGGAAAACAGAAAAATTACAATTCAAGAACAATAAACTAACAGAAACAAATTACAGAAGAGGAAACAATCAAATTACCTCAACAAAAATCCATGATTATTCCAAGAGTGCTGATTCTATGGGTTCTGAAGGGGGAAGGTTTTTTTATTAGAGATGGAGGATGTTCGATCCGGGGATTTTAGGTGAGCCGATTGAAACTGAGGGAGATAGAGAGAGTAATGAAGAGAATGGGATCCGAGGGAGAGAGAAAGAGGGGAGGAAGAGAATGGTAAAGTGACGATCGCACCCTGCCTTTCCACGATCATCAACACGCGGGCATCATGATCAACAGCAGAGAGAGTCAGTGGCAGCCTCGTAAATAAAATGAAATTTAGCCCAAATCACTGTTCATTTCTACACTGCCAATTCCAAACTTTTTTTTTTTATTTTTTATTTTTAAACAGGCAATATTATTAACCAGGGCAAAAAGCCAATTTTACAAAGAAAGTCCACAATTGGACTAACAGAGGAGAGAAAACCAACCACTCCTCAAAATACACAAGATGAAAATGAGTTATAAAGATCAAGACGATGAAACAAAGCAGAATTGTTTCCCATAAACACCCATTAAAACATTATACAGAGGGAGGGCATGGCAAACTATCTTTATCAAGGATACGAACCAACAAAGATGGGGGTCTGTTCAACCAAGTATCAACACTCATCTCCGCAATCTTAGGCGCCGTCATAAAATCTGCCGTCATATTCGCTGATCTAGGAACCCAAGACCAGTGTCATAAGTTGAAAGATTATGAAATTTTCCTAATTTTCATTAAAGCAGGTAGGGCTTCCCAATTTCCATTATCAATGGAGCTTTGCAAACATGATATTGTTTCTTTCGAGTCAAATTCTATCACTACATCTTTAATACCCGACTGCTTTGCCAACATACATCCTTCAAGAACAGCTATAGTTTCGACAGCAGACACATACTTCATTGCTCCGAGCACTTCCTTTACCAACCTGTTGAGTGAAAATTTGAAGCCCAATGAGATGTAAAAAGGATAGAAGTTTTATCTTCTTCCAAGATTTGCATGGCAAATCACTGTATATTCCTTTACCAATTCCCTGCTAACAACCAAAGATAAAGTTGTGTCGTTATTTTCTTGCTAAGTCATGAAAGCATCATTCAAATCAAGCTTCGACATGTTCATAGCAAATTTCACTACAACAGATGGGTCTCCTCCTTGCTTATACAAGGAAACTTTAATAATGCTTGCCATTTTCTTCGAAGGCAATATTGCGTTCTACCTGCCAAAGAAACAAAGAAATCTCATGAATTGCTGGCAATACCTTAATTTAATCCAATATCATTTATGTTGATAGCAATGCTAGAGATTGATTGATGTTGAATTGAATGGAAAGAATGGTGAAATTCGAAAAAAAAAATGGTCAGCTAAACTAGACCAACTGGATTGGTCCGAACCGCGTTAAAACCCGACCCACTGTTAGAGTATATTTAATGGATAGAGATTGTGACACTTGTCATTCATATATAAAGTTAGCTAATGAAGGTTGTTAGATTCTGTTGCTTATAAATACAAGTGTGATGTAATAACTTCTTCATTAATAAATACAAAGATGTCAGATTTTCCTCTTCTCTCTCTTCGAATCCTTTATTTCTCTCTCTAAAATACATATTCAAGAACTATTAGATTGATCAGCTATGGTTAACATGCTATCACTCGCAAGGATTGCAAACGCATCCTCGATCCTCTGACGTGCTTTTGCTACTCTTTGTTTCTCTTCCCTGAGTTTTTCATCTTCATTTCTTCATTTCTCAAGGTTGGTGATTTTGGTCGCAATTTCTAGGGTTTGTAGTGTTCATACCCTTTGATTTCTAGGGATTTCTACTATGATTCTCTGTTCTTCACGATATCAGTGTTCGAAATGATTTATGTGATAGTTCTTCTTGCTTCTCGGAATCAATTGATTTCTACAACATGGTGACTACATCACAATTACAGATTGTTCAATCACTGATTACTCCGCTTATTTCCACCATTTCTACATTTGTGAATGTTAAACTTGATGATTCTAATTACTTGAATAGGCAATTTCAAATGCAATTACTACTTGATGGTCATGGACTCTCTGGATTTGTCGATGGTACTCATCCATGTCCTGCTAGATTGGTTAATTGCTCTGCTGAATCCAGTGTTGAAAATAATACTCCTAATTCTTCCACACAAGTTGAAAATGATGAATATATTGTCTAGAAGATGCATGATCGTGCACTGATGCAATTGATCACTGTTACTTTGTCTCCGATTGATGTTTCATATGCAATTGGAAGCACTAGTACTTAAGATTTGTTGACAAGGCTGAAAGAACAGTTTTTTATTGTCTCTCGAACAAGCATTTTTTCAGATGAAATCCAATCTTCAAACTATCAAAAAGGGATCAGATTCTGTGTCACAGTATCTTTAGAAAATTAAAGAGGCTAGAAATTATCTCTCAACTGCTGGTGTTCACTTTGTAGATGAAGACATTGTGATTCTTGCCTTGAATGGATTATCACCTGAGTATAACACTTTTAGGACAATTATAAGGGGGTGTGAAAGTGTTATTTCTCTTAAGGACTTCAGGTCTCAACTTCTTGCTGAGGAATTGTTTGTTGTAAACAATGTGAATTCATAGTTTCTCTCTGCAATGGTAGCTAACAATGTTTCCTCTTAGTCTAAAAACACAAATGTGCAACCTCAGCAACAATTTCACAACAACTATGAACCTTCTTTTGGACAATCAACTCACTTCTCGGGAGGATCTAGACAGTTTAATCAAAACAAGCGGTAGGGAAGGGTTAAATTCAATCAAGGGTCTAGATTCCCTAGATAGTCTTACAATGTGTATCCCACTTCTGCATTAGGTGTTATTGGCAGTACCCCAAGTGGTGGTTTTTCTTCTCCTTCAATTATTTGCCAACTGTATAATACATTTGGTCATTCTGATGCTTTTTGTGGCACTAAACCACCACCAAAACAAGGCTGTCATATATGTGGAAAACATAATCACTCCACTTGGTTTTGTTTCTACAATGAAAAGGGTCATAATTAAACTAGTGCACCTCAGTTTTCTCAGTCTAATATGTCATATGCTCCATCTGCACCTATGGTTGGTTACTCCTATGCGCCACAACCATCTACTTCACAGCCTCCAATTCATGCCATGAACACCATGTTTTCTTAGCCATCTCAGACTGTTACTCCACAGATGACATCTCAATTTTGGTTTGTTGATTCTAGAGCTACAAATCACATGACTTCTAATCTTCAAAATCTGTCATTAGCATCTTCATATCCTACAAATGAAACAGTTCAAACTGCTAATAGTGAAGGTTTGAAAGTGTCTCACATTGGTAGCAGCATTATCAAACCTTCAATTCATCAATTTAAACTAAATTCCATTTTATATGTTCCACAATTATCTCATAACTTGCTATTAGTTCACAAGATTTGTCTTGATAATAACTGATGGCTTATTTTCGATGCCTATTGTTTTTGGAACCAAGACAAAGCCACAAAGAGGATCTTGCACAAATGACTGTGCAATAATGGTCTCTATCATATCCCTTCACTTGCTCAACCACAAATAAACACTTAACAAGCTATTGCATGCCTTAGAAGACTTGTCAACTCCAATCTTTGGCATAGTCGTTTAGATCATCCATGTAACCCTACTGCCTCTTAATGCTTAGGAATGCTGCTATATCTTGTGTTAAAGATGTTAATCCTACACTGTGTAATAGCTGTTTAAAGGGAAAGTTCACTAAACTACCATTTCAATCTAGGCCTTATCAATCCATTGTTCATTTAAATCAGACTTATTTGCTTCATTTGTTTCATTATGTGCATTTGTGCAAAATCAATTCTCAACTTCTGTTAAAACCTTACAAACTGATGGAGGTGGAGAATATGTCAATCATAAATTACATACTTTCTTGCAAGACAAAGGAAATATCCATCACAAATCTTGTCCTTATTCCCCTGAACAAAATGGCCTAGTTGAGAGAAAATATGGGCACATGATTGAGACTGCCATTACCTTGCTACAACATGCTCAACTTCCTTCCTAATTTTGGTCTTTTGCTTGTCAAACTGTTGTGTATCTTATAAACAGAATGTCATCATCACTTTTATAACACAAATCCCCATTTCAACTCTTGTTTGCCAAATTACCTGTTATATCTCATCTGAAGGTATTTGGCTTATCATGTTTTCCATTATTGAAACCATACAATAGTTCCAAACTGCAAGCTTAAACAACTAGATGTGTGTTTCTTGGCTATGCATCTCAATACAAAGGGTATATCTATTTTGATGTCTTTAAACACAAGGTTTATATTTCTAGACATGTGTTTTTCAATGAACTAGAGTTTCCTTATTCTAGTTTGAAAAAACAATCTACACAACTTTATGCTCCTTCTATTCGTAGTATTGATTTACCACCACCATTAGTCACAACTCTTGGCAATGTACTAATGTCTCCATCATTACCCTATGTGTTATAACATCCATCACAGCCTTTATCAAGTTCTCCATCTGTCCCTAATTCACAATATGTACCTGCTGCTCCACCCTCACATAGTCATGTACCCTATGCTGCTTCTGAGTCCATTACTGGTACTACAAGTGAATCATCTTTACTCCATGTAGATCCTTTGTTTGATTCTGAAAGTCTTCAAATGGTTCTTCCCTTTGCTCCACTCAACATGCATCTAATGTAGACTAGAAGCAAATTTGGAATAATTAAGAAGAAGGCCTTATTGACAGTTCTAGATGATTATGCAACTGTGGATTTGTCATTGGTTGAACCTACTACATACAAGACTGCACTTAAGGTTCCAGTTTGGCTTAAAGCAATGCAGGAGGAAATTGGGGCTCTACATTCTCAGGGCACATGGTTTCTAGTTTCTCTTCCTTCACAGAAGAGTTTAGTTGGATGTAAGTGGATTTTTAAAATCAAGAATAACTCAAATGGTACAATTGCCCATACATAAAGCTAGGTTGGTGGTAAAAGGGTTTAGTTAAGAACCAGGACTTGATTATGGAGAGACATTCAGTCTAGTGCTTAAACCTACCACTGTTAGGTTGATTTTGGCTTTAGCCGCACTTCATGGATGGAAATTGAGGCAACTTGATGTTAAAAATGCATTCTTGCATGGCTTGTTGCAGGAGGAAGTGTACATGTCTCAACCTCCTAGTTTTGTAGATGCACAAAATCCCCATTTAGTTTGCAAACTTCATAAGTCTTTATATGGCTTGAAGCAAGCTCCAAAAGCATGGAATGAAAGGTTTACTGCATTTCTACCTACCATTGGTTTTCAATCCACTTATTCAGATTCTTTTTTATTTGTGAAAAAGATTGGCAAGGATATTTTGATTTTACTTCTCTATGTGGATGACATTATATTCACATGAAGTTCTTCATCTGTCATTCAACATGTTATTCACTTTCTCACATCTGAGTTTGATATAAATGACCTAGGTAACCTGCACTATTTTCTTGGCATTCAAATCACCTCAATGAAAT